ACTGCGGATGTGAAGTCAATAGACTGCGGATGTGAAGTCAATAGTCTGTGGATGTGAAGTCAATAGACTGCGGATGTGAAGTCAATAGTCTGTGGATGTGAAGTCAATAGTCTGTGGATGTGAAGTCATTATACTCACAGGAATGATAAGAATATTCCTATCAAGAAGAATTTGTTCAGCTGCCGGAGTTGTTGGACCATTGGCGCCTTCCGCAACAATTCGACATTTCAAATTCTGAGCAACCTCTGATGTGATCGCTTTTTCTGCAGCACAAGGAATTAAAATATGACACTTCTCTGTCAAAAGGTTGCCTTCATATGGTTGTGCATTTGGAAAACCAACTATTGTACCATGCTCCTGCAAAATATGACGTAGTTCATAGATTCAGAAACAATTATACAAATAAGGTTTTTCAATGTTGCTTGACCCTATATTACATTAACAATTACACCACAGTAATAACACCACAGTAATAACAATACCGCAGTAACAATTACACCACAGTAATAACAATACCGCAGTAACAATTACACCACAGTAATAACAATACCACAGTAACAATTACACCACAGTAATAACAATACCACAGTAACAATTACACCGCAGTAACAATTACACCACAGTAATAACAATACCACAGTAACAATTACACCACAGTAATAACAATACCACAGTAATAACAATACCACAGTAATAACAATACCACAGTAACAATTACACCACAGTAACAATTGCACCACAGTAATAACAATACCGCAGTAACAATTACACCGCAGTAACAGTTACATCGCAGTAACAATTACACCACAGTAATAACAATTACATCGCAGTAACAATTACACCACAGTAATAACAATACCGCAGTAACAATTACACCACAGTAACAATTACACCACAGTAATAACAATACCACAGTAACAATTACACTGCAGTAACAATTACACCGCAGTAACAATTACACCGCAGTGACAATTACACCGCAGTGACAATTACACCGCAGTGACAATTACACCACAGTAATAACAATACCGCAGTAATAACAATTACACCACAGTAATAACAATTACACCACAGTAATAACAATTACACCACAGTAATAACAATTACACCACAGTAATAACAATTACACCACAGTAACAATTACACCATAGTAATAACAATACCGCAGTAATGACAATGTCTATATATAGTACACAAATCATTATACCACACTAATGACAATAATTAAATGAAAATAACAATCATAACAATTATAACTTATAACTAATACATCAAATTATTACACCATTTATTATACACACTACTTTGTATGTATGTATACTTACAATTTTATAGTCTTCCAACTCTCTCTGATCAATACCAGCTGGATTGTAGATGCTACCATCTATTTCTGCAACTCCTATACATTTAGCACCATGACGATGCAAATATCGCATTGTATGAAGACCTACATTTCCAAAACCCTGAAAAATATGTTATACACCGGCTTCATTGAAAGATATATACAGTGTTTTTGGCAGTAGTCTACTACTGTTGTATTATCACAACAACTGAATGAAAACTATTGATAAATTGAGTCTCGATATTTTCCAAATGTTCGGAATGTTAAATGACACAACGTAATAAGATGCACAATGGCCAATCACAATGTGGTAATAAGATGAAAAATGGCCAATCACAATGTGGTAATAACATACAAAATGGCCAATCACAATTTGGTAATAAGATGCAAAATGGCCAATCACAATGTGGTAATAAGATGCAAAATGCCCAATCACGATGTGGTAATAAGATGCAAAATGGCCAATCACAATGTGGTAATAACATACAAAATGGCCAATCACAATGTGGTAATAAAATGCAAAATGGCCAATCACAATATGGTAATAAGATGCAAAATGGCCAATCACAATGTGGTAATAAGATGCAAAATGGCCAATCACTATGTGGTAATAAGATGCAAAATGGCCAATCGCTATGTGGTAATAACATGCAAAATGGCCAATCACAATATGGTAATAAGATGCAAAATGGCCAATCACAATGTGGTATTAAGATGCAAAATGGCCAATCACAATGTGGTATTAAGATGCAAAATGGCCAATCACTATGTGGTAATAAGATGCAAAATGGCCAATCGCTATGTGGTAATAACATGCAAAATGGCCAATCACAATATGGTAATAAGATGCAAAATGGCCAATCACAATATGGTAATAAAATGCAAAATGGCCAATCACAATGTGGTAATAAGATGAAAAATGGCCAATCACAATATGGTAATAAAATGCAAAATGGCCAATCACTATGTGGTAATAAGATGCAAAATGGCCAATCACAATATGGTAATAAAATGCAAAATGGCCAATCACAATATGGTAATAAGATGAAAAATGGCCAATCACAATATGGTAATAAGATGCAAAATGGTCAATCACTATGTGGTAATAAGATGCAAAATGGCCAATCACAATGGCAATGTAAGATTGTAAAATATTTACCTGGATAATATATGTCTTCTGGCCAAATCCAGGTGTTGTACCGATTGCACTCATATATGATGCCTCATGTAAAAAGTTTTCAATGCCATGAAAAATACCCTAAAAAATAATATTGTTAAATGGTTACTTTGTGAATCTCTTCTTAGAACCTTAATTCAGTCTATGTTTTGGCAATATTTGAGCCAGGCTCTATTCCTTGCAACAAGTTCCAAGTTGTTGATGGCACTGCATGATTCACAGATCAAATTTGTTGTCAACAAAAGTTGCAGCAAATATGGTATATATTGTAACTGAAAGTGTCTCAACTTACACGTCCAGTAGCAGAGACACGTCCATGAATGCCACCTTGACTAATTGGTTTACCAGTTACACAGGCAGAAGCATTGATATCGTTGTAACCTACAAATAATCATTCTTTTCTAGTTTAACTAATTCCCAGTTAGGGAGCATTTTACTGGGGTCCTTTAAAGAGCTAACATAATTTACAAACAAGCAGCCTGTCGGCTGAGATAGATCTGCTGTTAGCAATGCACATTTCAATTAAAGAACTGAAGATATCATTAGAAAATGAACAATATGTATAGTATCAAAGCAATCGGACTTGCTGTTTTCAACATTTTTATTTATTTTTGGCCCATCTGTCATTCAGGATCAATGTGAGAATTTATTGTCATTCTAAAAAGTAACTAACCAATAGTTTCAGCATATGTATCTGCCATCCAACTCATTTCTCTCTCACCCGTACCCATATCTGGTGCAGGAACATCCACACCAGGACCTGAAAAATATAAATTTATTTGTCAACATCATTCAATCTTCAGTTGATTCAAAACATATATGTACAAATTTGATAGGTCAAAACAATTTGTCAACATCATTCAATCTTCAGTTGAGTCAAAACATGTGTACAAATTTGATAGGTCAAAACAATTTGTCAACATCATTCAATCTTCAGTTGAGTCAAAACATATGTACAAATTTGATAGGTCAAAACAATTTGTCAACATCATTCAATCTTCAGTTGAGTTAAAACATATATGTACAAATTTGATAGGTCAAAACAATTTGTCAACATCATTCAATCTTCAGTTGAGTCAAAACATATATGTAAAAATTTGATAGGTCAAAACAATTTGTCAACATCATTCAATCTTTCAGTTGAGTCAAAACATATATGTACAAATTTGATAGGTCAAAACAATTTGTCAACATCATTCAATCTTCAGTTGAGTCAAAACATATATGTAACAAATTTGATAGGTCAAAACAATTTGTCAACATCATTCAATCTTCAGTTGAGTCAAAACATATATGTACAAATTTGATAGGTCAAAACAATTTGTCAACATCATTCAATCTTCAGTTGAGTCAAAACATATATGTACAAATTTGATAGGTCAAAACAATTTGTCAACATCATTCAATCTTCAGTTGAGTCAAAACATATATGTACAAATTTGATAGGTCAAAACAATTTGTCAACATCATTCAATCTTCAGTTGAGTCAAAACATATATGTACAAATTTGATAGGTCAAAACAATTTGTCAACATCATTCAATCTTCAGTTGAGTCAAAACATACATGTACAAATTTGATAGGTCAAAACAATTTGTCAACATCATTCAATCTTCAGTTGAGTCAAAACATATATGTACAAATTTGATAGGTCAAAACAATTTGTCAACATCATTCAATCTTCAGTTGAGTCAAAACATATATGTACAAATTTGATAGGTCAAAACAATTTGTCAACATCATTCAATCTTCAGTTGAGTCAAAACATACATGTACAAATTTGATAGGTCAAACAATTTGTCAACATCATTCAATCTTCAGTTGAGTCAAACATATATGTACAATTTGATAGTCAA